TAAAGACTCGGTGCGAGGAGCAGACCCACGATGTTAAAGACTCGGTGTGAGGAGCAGACCCACGATGTTAAAGACTCGGTGCGAGGAGCAGACCCACGATGTTAAAGACTCGGTGCGAGGAGCAGACCCACGATGTTAAAGACTCGGTGCGAGGAGCAGACCTACGATGTTAAAGACTCGGTGTGAGGAGCAGACCCACGATATTAAAGACTCGGTGAGGAGCAGACCCACGATGTTAAAGACTCGGTGAGGAGCAGACCCACGATGTTAAAGACTCGGTGCGAGGAGCAGACCCACCTCCTCCTGCGGCGTCGGGGTGAACTCGGCGGACGGAGGACGAGCGACCGACATGACGGAGCCCGGCAGAGAGACGTTGGACAGCCGTCTCTTCTTGACTCCGCTGCAGTTGTTGGGGATCTTGAACGCACACCGTTTGTGGTAGTTCAGTCCACATCCTGAAGAAGAGAAAATCAGTTTAGGCGTTATGTTATTTTCATTTTATCCTCTTTTCTATCTACCAACCGGTCGGTCAGTATAAACTGTGCAGCTAGACCTCAAACCCCAAAACCCGCCGGCAGGATTGAAAAGCGTGTTGTCTTTAAACAATCACCAAAACGACATTGTTTATTAAGCTAGAAGTTATTATTATCAGATGTTCCCCTTTCAGACGGCCTTTGAACACATCATGTGTGACAACGCTTACGTCAGAAAAAGCAACTGAAACAAATCTTTCAAAAACATTTTATTCTTCAATCTTGCCCCAAATAAAGCGTTCACTTTAACCAGATTGTGTAAAAACATTAAGTTGTGAGCTCCTCAGTGAAACCATGAAGTCATGATTGATTCATCTGAGACCAACAGTCATGTGACAACAAGGAGGAGAAACTTTGACTGAACTACAGGAAGTGAACACAGAGAGGAGAGGAGAGGAGAGAGCAGAGGAGAGAAGAGAGGAGAGGAGGGAGGAGAGGAAAGGAGAGGAGAGGAGAGGAGAGGAGAGAGGAGAGGAGGGAGGAGAGGAAAGGAGAGGAAAGGAGAGGAAAGGAGAGAAGGAGAGGAGAGAGGAGGGAGGAGAGGAGAGAGGAGAGGAAAGGAGAGGAAAGGAGAGGAGACGAGAGAGGAGAGGCTGTAAAAATGTAAATAGTTCAATATTCAAACAGAAAGTAGAACCTTAATTTTTCCAACATTAGTAACACTTGTGGATGCTTAGAAACATGTTGATATATAAATTCCAGTGTTTTCCAACTTTTGTAAAATACATGATCAAAGAAATTCAACATTGGACAGAGTCACGCTTTTTCCCCTTGCTTACAGTGTTTATGCTAAGCTAAGCTAATCGACTTAATTACAAAACCCTCCTTCCTCCATTAAGGATTTCTTGTCCTTTCCCTCCCATCATTCAGACTCTTCCATCAGTTTGAAGCTTTTAGTTAAAGTTACATAAGCGGAAGCCGTATTTTTCTGCAACGACGTCAACATCGAGCGTCTCTTATCTCTGCTCGGCATCACGACGGTGACGTTATTTACGTTTCTGAGCTTCCAGTTGACGTGAGACCAAATCAAGGTCCTCAGCTCCGTTTCTTTCAGTTTATTTTGTGTTTTAATGACGTCAGAGCGTTAACTTGTTCATCACAGACTCACCATCCCTGTTGTCGTTAAGACATTCGATTTGCACACTTGTAGAAGATAGTGTTAGCATGTTGGGTTTAGCATGTGCTAATCAGGTAATCGGAAAAAAACAGGTGGGAGATGAAGAGTTTTACTTCCTCATCAAACTCCAAAAAATAAACCAAATAAGGAGAAATAAGGATATATTGTTATGGACTTGAATAAAAAATATATATACAATATATACAATGACAAAAACACGGCTTGGCCTCTAGATGACCCCGTGTTGGTGTTGTTTTGCCCTGTTCACCACGTTCTTACCCTCACACTTGAGGCCTTGTCTGACGAGCCCCCACAGCATCTCCCCGCAGTCGTCGCAGAAGGCCGGCGCCTTGTAGGAGTGGACGTACAGCGCGTGAGGTCGGATCTGGAAGTCCTCTGCTGTGGCGAGAGCTGAAAGAAACAAACACAGAGCAGTTGCTGTACGATGCTATATATTAAAGCTCATATTTACATTTTTTACACCGTTTTTTACAGATTTTTGCATCGTTAACCTCACTATTGTCACTTTAACTTGTAACTCTGGTCTCAAAATGCTCTTGTATATTTTATTCTTTGTGTTTCATTCTAATTTTTTAATTATACCTCTTAATATTCCTGTCTTTACATCTACTATTTATCTGTATTTATTAGTGGTGTACTGATCGCCCCTCACTATTCAGCATGCATGTGATCTGTGGATTAATTCCACACTTTAATGTTAACCATCAGAGTGTAAATAAAGTTTTACTGACTCAGTAGAACATGTGTTTCTAGTCTCTGATCTCTGATCATGTTACATCGTAAACAACCAATCAGTCTTTAATGCAACAGGAGGAGAGCTAGTAGCGTTAGCAGCACCGCTAACGGCTAACCAACAGGAGGAGAGCTAGTAACGTTAGCAGCACCGCTAACGGCTAACCAACAGGAGGAGAGCTAGTAGCGTTAGCAGCACCGCTAACGGCTAACCAACGGAGGTTCACTTCAGTTACATTATGATGCCTTCAGGCTCTGCTCAGTGAACATGAGTACCGGCTCACATGAAATCTGTAAAATGTAGTTTTGGTGACTTGAATAAATCCAGTAGTTTGAAGGAGATGTTTTCACATGAATGTAAAATAGATATTAAAGATGAACTATGAGCTGTTTAACTTCCTAACACGCGCTCTAAGCAGGGTAAACACAGGTGTAATTAATAAGTAATTATTAATCATGGTCCAGTTGTGACACTAAATATAACTGCAACGTAAAAACCATAAGACTCAGTGACACATTTCTCTTAATTTAAAGCTTGTTTTGTCTTTGCAGCCAGTTCTCTGATGCATCTTACAGTCAGGTATGAGTTATAAAATGCCTCCAGAAATGAATATCTGAACTAGCTGAACCTCTGCAGGTTCTTGCAGCAGCAGAAGCAGCAGGAGGAGGAAGTGGTCGCGGGTTTGAACCCCGGGTGCGGTTTTCGGGGCTCCGACTTCGCTGTCTTCCTCCCGTGTAATCCTAAACCTGCCGCTGCTCTGCGTCTGGGTCTTCATCAGTTATAGTTGTTACAGCCCAACCTGTAGACACGACTCAGGATGTGACGATCCCATGCACAATATTATGGTGAGAGCGAGCCGGGTGACCCGCTAGAGGAGGAAACGAGATCTGAGGCGACCTCACCGCTCGCACTCAGAGGGGGGTTAACGAGAGAGTTATAAACATTTTATACATATGAACGTGCTTTAAGTCGTCACTGCCTGGAGACCGGAGAGACTCCAATGTGTACAAATAAATATAAATAAATGTGTGTTTATAATAAACGAAATAAAGATTATGTATGAATCGGTTTATTTATGTATTTTTTTTTTGTGTTCAGACATTCATGGTCCCCAGCGGATGACTCCTACTAACTTTGACAATCCTCTGACTTTTCCTCTGGCACCAAGAGGTTCATATTTGTGGTTTCCCGAAGTTCTTAGATCAATTGAAAGTAGAAAGAGTTGGTTTCTTACCGGAGAGCACCACCTCCACCAGGTCGCCTTCGTGGATCTCCTCCGCTGAGGTCAGACGCTTCAGGATGTTGTCCGAGTTCAGGTCGTGGCGAAACAGCAGGATCTTGTCGTACATCCCGAAAAATCCACATTCTGGGAACTGAGGAGGAGAAAGAGGAGGAAGAGGTCAGGGATTAATGTTGACTCAGTCTGAAGTTACTGTTAAAGTCTACTTGAGTTGAGCACAAACTGCAGCAAAACAACGAGCAGTCAGGAGCAAACGGTCAAGGAGAATAACTAAGACATCTGAGCGGGTGATATGTATGAAATCCTTTATCACAGAGCAGATTTATATTGCAGAATATACACTATTCATGTTGTTTTATAGTACATTTATTGGTATATTAACTGGAAAACAGTTTGTAGATAAAATAACCAGATGTGGACATTTGTTTTTGGTTAATCCACCAAATTAAATATGATCAATGCGATCCAAAGGGTTCGTCCTCTGGGAAGTTATGGGAAGATAATATTTCTATGCCGTCAAATAAAATCTTATTTATCATCATAACCGTAACATATTTATTTTACTAAGAGATGTAAAATATAAGAACAAGCCGTAAATATAAAAGCATTTAGTTGTAGTTTGGTTTGAAGGTGGCGCTACACACACAACGTCAAATCACAAAGTCATCAGAGAACAGCAGCTGAAGGTTGTTTATTTTAAACCAGTAAGGAGCGTAATCCATATCTGTCAAAGGGCTCTTGAGCAAGGCACTGCTCCAATGCTGTTTTCACTGTCACGACTTGTTCCTGAAGTTAACAATTAACTGACCTTTGAATACGAGGAACACGAGCTGAGCGACAGAGAAATAAGAGAGTGAAACTCTGGAGATTTCGTTTGTCACTGCGGCTGCTGAATCAGTTTCCACTGAAGGAACTCAACCACCATTTAGTCTCTGATTTTCTTCCCCGAAACACGAGCTGGATCCTCTTTATAAAGAAACTTCAATACCATCTGATGGAAGGTTCAAGACCGGGTCACTGTCTGTGTCAGATGTAACGCCGTCTCTCTTTCTGCTGAGACTTTGCAGCCCACCACAGTGAGAAACAAAAGTTTCAGTGTGTGTTGTATAGTGTGTATTAGGGCTGGGGATCGTTTAAAGAGATAAGATGCCAGCACTAATACAAGTTCCTTTAAAGTGAAAATGTTGTTTTCAGCCTTTAAAATATGGAGATTTACAGCTTTTCTCAGTTTAATATCACATATAACTGTGGTGTTTTGGACAAAACATGACATTTTCTGCACCAGATCCACTCCTTTCATTCTTACCTTTCACAATAAAAGCCTTAGACACATAATATTCTGGTATGCAAGTTCATAATATGCAAGTATTTCGCACTTGTGTGTTGTTGTGTGTAAAAAGGTCACTGTAAAGATTTCATGCAATTTGACCAATTAATCCAAAATGTGTAAGAAACTAAATCTCAAATTGACTAAATTCTTTGTTGTAATTTGAGACTAAAAAAATCGACATAAATGAGCCAAACGAACACTGTTGAAGTCTAGAGAGTGCACTTGGTGTTCGTGGTGAACGGTGTGTGTTATGGTGAAGTGTGTTCTGGATTTGGGGCTCAGCAGCCTCTGCAGCCTGCAGACAGACAGGCAGGTGGAGCAGCTTCCTGCCGTGAGCGGCTCTCGGTGTTAGCAGGATGTTAGCAGCGTGCAGGTAGCATGCAACACCAGGCTGCAGGATCACTGACAGCAGGAAACCCAGCCGTCAGGTGACAAGGCAGAAGCTGCATGGATGCCATCAGACGTACCACACACACACACACACACACACACACACACACACACACACAGACAATGTCCATCATGAATTATGGCTGAGGTCCTGTCACTGACACCCAGCAGTCATTAGCCACGTGGATACACACCACCGCTCAAACAATGGGACAGCGACAGGCGGAACCACCAGGAACAGTCTGATCCTGAAGGAAAGAGAGGTGAACAGTCGATCTCTTGTTTCTGTTCTCTCAGCAGTTCAGGGCGAGCTCTCCGACCTGTGACCGTATCCTCCTTCAAACTGAAGCCCATGAATGGGTGATGAGACAACAGGCCCAAAAGCCCCCTAAGCACACTAGTAGCCAGACTCCTGAAAGAGATGTAACATGACAACCAACGACATCGCTGTGTTTATAAGAGACGTGAAATGACTGCAGAACGTCTCTCTGTTGTCATTTTGTGTCTCTACAAACAACATAGCTGTGTCTATTTGTGGTTATTTTGCATCTCTTTGCATCTATTTGTGGTCACTTTGCATCTCTTTGCATCTCTTTGTGGTCACTTTGCATCTCTTTGCATCTCTTTAAGGTCACTTTGCATCTC